TCATTGTCTTTTACTCAAAACTTCACATCTATGAACTAAAATCTGCTTTTAGTTGCTGGATTCAAGCTTCCAGGACATTTTATTTTATTAGCAAGAGTAGATAAATACTTTTTCAGTTTTTTTCAATTTACAAAAAATTCTACAAAAAACCCTCTGAGTAATTTTACTTTTAAATTTAAATATTTATGCTTTGTTTATTGTTGAGTATATTAAAAGAATCACAACAATTTTTGTGATTTTATTTGTTAAAAATGTCATTTTTTGGCTTTCAGTTATTTTGTCCCAAATACATTTGAACCCTCCTGATGTGCAGATGTTGTGATGGACTGATGGTGGCCATCTTGTCTGGTTCAGGGCGAAGACCATCAAGAACACGGTGTGTGTGAACCTGGAGCTGACCGCAGAGGAGTGGAAGAAGAAATACGAGAAGGAGAAGAACAAGAGCCTGAAGAGCGCCATCCAGAGGCTGGAGGCTGAACTGAACCGCTGGAGGAACGGTACGTGGAAAACGTTACAATCTGCTGAGTCTGCATTGTGCCCATCCTCACTCTTCCTCATCCGCTGTTGGTTAGTAACCACAGAGACTCCTCCTCCTCCTCTGTAGCCATTGTTCTTTAAATCTTGCTGAGTTTGTTGCTGATGGAAAATGTTCCTAAGCATTAAATCAACATCCCCTCTACACACACACACACACCACACACACACACACACACACACACACACACACACACACACACACACACACACACACACACACATATTCTAGCAGCTGCAGCCAGACCTGGACGGGTTTCTGGGTCTCTACGGCCTCATCATGACCGGCATGTTCATCAAGGAGAAGGTGGGTCCAAACCCAACAGAACCAGGCAGAACCAGGCAGAACATGTTTCCATGACGGGTCAAACCAGGAACACATTATTATTTAAGACCAAGATTATCATAATCAAGAAGACAGATCAGTAAACTTTACATTTTAATGACCATTTAGCTCTAGAACTGGAAAACATTTTAAATATCTAAAATCAATAAAACAAGTGAAATAAAATATCAAAACTATCCTTCAATAAAAAGCTGGTTGAGATTAAAACCTGTTTGTTTGGTAGAAAAAGGAAAACAATAAACAGTTTTCCTGAAACATTAAGTCATTTTTCTGCCTTTAACACATTCAGCAGTGAATACATGAGGATGATTGACAGCACTAAGCCCCTCCTCCTGGCTCTGATTGGTGGTTTTTGCTGCAGGTCGATATTTCACAGTCGATCAGCTTCATAACAAACTGTCATCACAAACATATTTTTATAAATTCGTTCTTTCAGACGGTTTGTGAGTTTTCAGAACTTATTCTGGACCTTCTGTGTTCCAGTTCTTCAGAACCAAAGCGAAGGGCTCAGACGATGGAACCTACGCTGTGAGTCCCGTCGTCTCGTCGTGTCGCAGCTCAGATTTTCTCTTGAATTCGTCTTCATGTGTTTTTGTGTTCAGTCTCTCAGCAGAGCGACGGGCGACACCTACGAGCCGCTGATGACCGACCCGGAGCGAGGACGGGTGAGTCCAGATGTCCGGTTCTGAAGGTTCTGGTTCTGTTCAGATGCTTCATCTTGTTTCTTCTCATTGTGTCTCTCAGAACCGCCGAGCGCCGGATGACTCCACCTACACGGTACCAGACGAACCGTCCAGAACAGAACCGCAGTGACCTCTGGATGTTTATCTAACTGGTTCTGTTTGGGTTTCAGGGCCTGCAGAAACGATCAGAACCGACGTATAAAGAGCTTCCTGTGAGGAGAGAGGTGAGCGTCTGAACACGATGAGGTTCTGTCAGGTTCTGGAACCGGTTGCATTAAAAACTCTTGTTTTTGCAGCGTCAGCGGAAGAACGAGCAGGTTTACCAGGTGAGTACCGACCGGACCGGACCGGACCGGACCGACCCGTCCAACATCTGCTCTGATCAGCTGATTGATTAACTGATGGGCTGCTTTCAGGGTCTGAGCTCGGTCACCAGAGACACCTACGACTCCCTGCAGATGCAGCCGCTTCCGGCCCGCTAACCGGGTCGGTTCTGAAGAATCCTGCAGATCAGCACCAAGTTTTACTCTGATTGGACCCGACGGCTCCTCAACATCTGGGAATTTAAGGCTTTTCCCACCAGATTTGGAGCTTTAAAATTCTGAAATATGACAGTTTTTTATTTAGAGCTCATCAATGTGATCAATAGTTTTGATTAGTTTAAATGGAAATCAATAATTCCACTCATTAATTAGCATTCTATGCCGAGAAGTTTCACTGTTGTGTAAATATTTGTATGAGGATGAGAAACAGGAGGAAACCTGCTCAATAGTTTCTGCTTCTAATGTCTGACTGTGTGAAGTCTGAAGAACCTGAAGTCAGTTTGAACTGGATGGAAACACAAGAAGGACAATTTAAACACATTTAGTCAAATCAGAGATAAAATCAAATGAAAATAGATATTTAGGTTAACATTAATATGATGGACATTATGATCATTTAATTGTTATTCTGCTGTTTTTAATCATATTTCTTGTCTCCTATGACTCATTTTTATTAACTTTTGTTGTTTTTTATGTTTTCCTGAGAATTTCTGCTGTTTTTAGAATGTTATTAAATGTAAAGCTTTTATCTGATGATTAAATGAGTCTTAAATAAACATCTGTTACTCATTTCTGCCTCCTGGTGGACAGAATGAAGGTTTGCAATAATAAAGATTTACCTATAATTTATTCAATTTTGCCAGTAGAATTAGTTACTTATTTAATTGGAAGATTGTTTCACTCATAATTTGGGTAAATGTTGTGTTATAAGTGAAATAATCTGCATGATTCATCAATATTAAGAAATAATTGACTGAAAAGAAGCTCATGTGTTTTGCTGAAGTTATTAGTCACTGGCTCCTAGTGAGGGACCAGACCAAGAGCAGCAAGAGACCAACTAGAACTAGAAGTCAGGGTTTCCTCTGCTTCATCAGCCTGCTGGGCTGATACTGTTGTACTGTAGTGAGAAGGGGCGGAGCCTGAGGTGAGTCAGGAACAATAAGATCAGGAGAAACAGATTATTCACTTTTTATCAGTAAAACAATCAGAGGAGGGCTTCACAACCCTCCTCTGAATTATGACACTCAAAACTTTGTAATATTTTAACCCAAAAACGCAGCGGGCCGCTGATGGACGACCTTATGACCCCACCCTGAAGTGTTCCCAGGTAATTCCTGCATCAGGAATTTTGTGTTAAATGATATTTACTAGTTTGATTAACATTGATCTGAAACCTTCACCTTCCATTTATGACACATCAGAAAAGGTTCCTGCTGGACGGATCTTAATGTTTGGAGGTTGAACCTTTTTTTTTTCAGGCATGTTGGCAACGAGGAAACATTCCTGCACAGCAGAGACAGAAACTGGTAAACATCTTCCAGTGAACGGCTGCAGCAACTTAAAACCTGTTTGTAACTCTGCAGGTTTTTAATTTTCGTTGGAAACGTTTGAGACAAACTAGTTGAACAACTTAAAGCCTCCATCTAAGAGAGGCCAAAGATTAAAGAAGTTTATGTTCAGTAGTGAAGGAGGATCAGGTGAATCATCATGGAAAGACCAAAGATAAAATGAAAAATAAAAAAGATTAGAAACTGAAAAAGTTGTGAAATCTTTGCCATTTAGGAAAATGTTAAACTTTAAAAAATGTTGTGGACTATGTTTCAGATTCTTTATTTATTATTATTATTATTATTATTATTATTATTATTTGACTTTTAAATGAACTTTCTGGCCAAAATTTAGCATCAGAGCTAAAAAGATAATTAAATGTGTAGCAGTTGAATGATGTTAGCTAATGCTAATGCTAATTAATGTCTATGGTGACCTTTGACCTTCCTGCCAGGGTTCTTGAGTTATTCTGAAATGTTTGTCTTTTTATTTAGAAAAGTAAACAAAAACTATTTTAAACAGGATCAGGAACTGAAGTCGGTCATGTAGTGAAAGACGACTGGATGGATCCGACTGACTGAAACTTTAACAACAAACATCCACAAGTTACTGGATGATAAAAACTATTTCCTCCTTTCTGGGTCTTTTTCTTCTGCCCAGATCATTGATTAATATCTGGATCAATACAGTGGAGATGCAGAGGAGATAATAATGTTCCTGTAAAGCTGATCACAGTCAAAAGACGTTTTTACACCAAGATTGAATCAAACAGACGACTTTAAAACTTTTACACAGTAATGTTTCATTTTTAGATGTTGTCTTTCATTATTATTGTAGCAGAATGAAGCCTGCCCTCAGGATTGAGGACATGTGGCACCTATTGCCTCATAATCAGTGTGAGCATAAAGGAGACTCTTCAGTGGGAAGGTCACCTGGTTGACTTGCAGTGGTCGAAACTCTGAAATCAGTAAGTAATGTTTCTCCTTCTGTATAAGGCCTGTAACTTGAGTTGGATAATTCAAATAGTTTAAATCTAGAAGCTGCCTGAAGTCTCCTGTTTGATGGTGGGGTGTGGCTGTAATTTACCCTCCCCAGTTCAGCTTGGCAACAGAAAACGGCTCAGTAGTTTTATATTGTACTCATGCAGTTCAATAACATGAAATGACAATTATTTCTATATTAAACATACTGGCAATCGAATCCTCCTGCCATTTGGCTGGAAGGCTCTCTGGTCGGGGTGGAGTCATCCAGCTCTGCTAGGTGACAATGGCTTCCTCTTCCTCCTGCCATTTTTCTAAATCTCTCCTATTAATCTAACTTCATTTCAGACATAAAGCTGCTGCAGCTCACTGGAGGCCCTGCTGCTTTGTTTTTGCTTTGTTTGTTTTTTATATCCTGCTTTGTTTTCAACTATTGGTTTGGTTTCTGGGTTTATCATTTTTGATTAAATTTGCTTTGTTCCTCTTGTCTCCAGGCTGAAGGCAGTAAGGGTGGTGGGGGGGCATCCAGGGGCCTGGACCCATGTGATGTGCAAGTGACCAGTGTTGGGATTTCTTCACGATCAAGTGTCTGTTCACAAGAGCTCGGTGATTTATTTTGTTTTAGGAACCAGGACCCCACATTTGGGCTGGTAAACCTCAGTACGATGCAAATCTCTTCCCATTGTGGTTCTTTAATTTTTGTTTTTAAAACATGGATCAATGATATTAACTATTTTATGGAGGAATAAAGTTTTGTTCTCGTTGTTTACGAACCTTAAGTGCCTTACTGACCAAGTTCTTGGGTGCAACTCCCAACGTGGCGTTGACACCTGTTGGTCACCCTGTTTGAAGGGGCAGAGGAGTCGATTCATATACGATTATTTTTACCTTTAATCTGCAGTAATGAAAATGGTTCCTCTCTTTGCTGCTCAGGTTATAAATGTTCAAACTGGTTGAACTGGTGGATGAAGAACTGGAGGCTGCAGAGCCGACAGGCTGGAAAACCATCAATCTGTCCAGATCTTCTGATCAGAACCAGAACCAGAACCAGGCACCAATAGAGAGCAAATCATTTAGTTTACAAAAACTAAATGAGCAAACTGAGGAAGGAGGAAACATTCCTGCACAGCAGAGACAGAAACTGATAAACATCTTCCAGTGAACGGCTGCAGCAAGTTAAAACCTGTTCAGGAGGTTTTAACTTTTGTTGAAAACGTTTGAGACAAACTAGTTGAACAACTTAAAGCCTCCAGGCTAAAAGAGACAAAGATTAAAGAAGTTTATGTTCAGTAGTGAAGGAGGATCAGGTGAGAATCATCATGGAAAGTTTCCTTCATATCAACATTAAACATGATTAAATAAATGAATAAAATCTGTATTTAATATGAACATGTCAGATGGAGACACATCAACATTTCAAGGTTCTTGGTTCTGTTGGCTCAGATCATAACAAGCAGCAACTATTATTACTTTTATTTGTTAAATTTCTTTATAGATGAAACTGAAAATCTCCATTAATTTAATCAAATATTGATTAAAATCCTGAATATGTTTCAAACTTAAAGAAGCTTTAAACCTAAACGTGAACTTGTTGTTTAACATTTATTTCCTGGTTTCTTGTTATTCAACAGGTGAACACACCTCTGCTGTCAGGGGGCGGAGCCTCAGGTGGGTCCCATTAAAGTTCTGGAGAATCGGTCCGGTTCTCCAGTTCGCTCCCACTGGGTTTGTGTGAACAGAAGGAGAAGCAAAGATCTGATCAGGTGAGTTTTAACTCCACTTCTGGTTTCCAGTCCTGACTGGTTTCTCTCTCTGAGCTGCTGGTTCTGGTTCTGGTTCTGGTTCAGCTGAGATATGTGGTTCCTGGTTGGTGGATGAAAATATTTCAATATGAAGTCAATAATTTATTGATCAGGGAGGATTTCTCCAGATTGAATCAGTCTGTGGAGCCAGAGGACAGCTGATCACATTTCAATCAATTATTGATCAGTAAGAAGTGATTATGGTGAAATATCAACACAGCGCCCCCTAGAGTTTTTAAAAACATCCACTGCTGTTATTTAGACCTGAACTGAGTTAAAACGTCAAACCATCAGAACCAATAAAAATTACTATTGGACCCGTTTACACACCCAGCAGGAAGTCGGCCATTTTGGATCAAATGTCTTGTTTTTTGTTTGTTTGTTTCAATAGTGATGCGTAAATGACGCGTCATGAAACATTTCCACCCCTTTACAAAACTGTATTGATAATGTGTCACTCAATAGTGACACCTGCTGGACATTGAACATCCCTACAGGCAAAGCAGTTGACAGACATATTTCATGACCTGGTCTATATAATAAGACTTAAATCATGGTATTTATTGTATATTATAAATTGTATTATGTCATCAGTTAAATTCTAAATCTTAGATTCTAAAATTTAATATTTTTTGATTCAGTCAATAAATGAAGTGAACATGGACCATAAAGTGAAAATTTAAGTGAATGTGTTTGGAATGAGGATGCTTAAAGACTGAGTGTTTTTATTTTTGTTTCTTCACAAATTTTCATAAAAAAGAAAAAAAAGTTTTTCAAATATTTTGAAGTTTAGTTTGTTACGCTTTTTGACACAACTTCTACTGTAGAAAAAAATGAAGTAAACAATACATTTATATGAAATAATTAATAAAAAGCCACTGAGTAATTAGTAGAATGATTATATACCTGAGTTTCTCCAGGTGTGTCTGGGATTCATTCTGATGCCCTGTGATGCCTCAGCATTGAGAAGGTGAATTTATTGAAATAAGTCATTTCTGTCAAAAATGTGCAACTCTAAACCTGCAGAGCATAATATGAAAGTAAACTAACAGCTGAATTTGGATTCAGATAGATCAAGTAGAAAGTGGAAAGAACCGGATGAAACAACGACAAAGTGAAAACCAATTCCTTATTTTCTAATTAAGATCAAAATGGTCAAAATTACAAAACCTTTTGTTTGCTTTGAAAGGTTTCATAGTTGTCGCTGTACCGTAAAAGATCAAGAATTAGTTTGGAAATGCATCAAGTTGACAGATTTGCTTCCTTATAAACACAGTTAGGCGCCTCAGTGTCATTTCAGTTCCTCTTGGTCATGTGACTGGATGAAAGCAACACGCACCGACACGATGTTTCGTCTAAGGGCTTCATGTATGCGCCAACACATCGGTGTTGCTGGACCCATCACTATTTTTGACATTTTGACCTTCCAAGTAAAAAGTGAACTAAAAATCTGAGGTTTGTTTGTGAAAGCTCAGATGTTTGAGCTTCTTAAAAACCAAGAAAACTTTCCTCCACTCCGACCGTCGCTCTATTTCTGAGGCTCACTCTGTTTTTTTATTAATTCAGCTAATATCTGATGAATTATTGGTTCAACCACAGTAATCATTTTACAAACCCTTAATAGTAAGTCTGAATTATTGAATTATTCCACTGACGGATATTTCCAGTTCAATTGGTGGCAAGATTTTGACCTTTGACCTTTGTGCTTGTGTGTTTTAAATAAATACTTTTGGGGTACTTTTAGTTTCCATTCCAACTGCATAAGATAAAGTAAATTATTCATGACATAAAGTCTGAAACGTAATGAATCCTTCATGTTTTCCAGATAAAAGATGGCGCAGCAGCAGGAAGTCCAGCAGGAAGTCCAGCAGGAAGTCCAGCAGGAAGTGGATTTTGGTAAGTGATCAGAAGCAGAAATGAACCTTCATGAAGGAACAAATTGACCAATCACAGCCCGTGTTGCTGCCATGTGATGAACCTCAGCCTCAGAGTATTTATTGTTTTCATGTTTCCTGTTCAGTGAAGATCTGCTGGAAACTGAGTTTCTGTGAAACCTGAAGATAAAAATTTATCCAATAATCACATCATTTATTACTAATTTATTATCAAAGGCTGTCTCTGTCTTTTATCCCAACATTTGGTGACAGAGATGCTAAAGCTTAGAGATGGAGATTAAAAACTTGTTGAAAGTAAAAGACAGAAAAGTGATGAAAATGTTAATCAGTCGATATTTTCACCAATAGGTCAGACAGAGGTCACGACCCCTCTGTCTGACCTAGAACTGCCTTAAAGTTCAGTTCACAGATAAAAACTGAACACATTCACAGCCTCAGAATAAACTGGTCCATGCTGATGAAACATCCCGGTGAAACAAAACTGGTCTTTTATTTTGAAAAAGCAAACAGCTGCTTCCACTTAGGATCCGTTAGACTGATCCTAAAACCTTTTGAAGTAAATGAGAAGGCCAGTTCTCATATTCAATAGTACTGTGATTTGTATCTGTACCTCACTCACAGTAATAGCAGCGATGAGAGAGAAATGTTATGCACTGAGCGCTATATTTTTGAAAAGAATGAAAATTAATAGTTAGGAGCCCAAGATATCCCAGTGACACCAGCTCTGGAGGACCTTGACAGAAAACCCCAGAGCAATTTCAAAAGATTGTAGGGAAGCTGACACTCGATGCAACGATCAAAATTTTCACCAATAGAGCAATGTTGTTGGGCGTGAGAGCAAGTTAAAATGTTCAGCTATGTAATATGAGGTAAAGGTTAGGCAGTAGAAATCAATGGAAGTCAATGGGAAGTCTCCACAAAGATAGTCTGACAAACGTGTGTGTGTGTGTGTGTGTGTGTGTGTGTGTGTGTGTGGTGTGTGTGTGTGTGTGTGTGTGTGTGTGTGTGTGTGTGTGTGTGTGTGTGTGTGTGTGTGTGAGCATCTCAGCTGTAGGTCCTACAGACAGAGAGCTGATCGGGTCAGAACCCAGAGAACAGACACTAACAGGTCTAGTTTCTATTTTATTCACTTTAAAGGAAACAAAGTAAAGACACAAACATGATTCCAGTTTAGACCTGAAAAGGTTTAAACTCAGTTCTATCTCTAATTTCCTTCCTAAGTTCTGCATATGTTTTGTGAGGAGATGAGCCAGCAGACATCAGAAGGTCATGAAGGACTGAAGGAGAGAACAATTCAAACCAGATGTTACCTGCTGGAATCTGGTTCCTCTGATGATGGGAACCAGCTTTCTGCTTCACAGGACAGTTACTGGGACTGGATCACTGGAATGACTGGGTCTGGTTTCTCTCTCCAGAAGTCCAGAAGACGGAATATCGGCATCAAAAGAAGGAGAGAGCAGAACCTCCAGGATCCATCAGTCCATCTATGAGGAGTGACCGGTCCAAAGGAAACAACCCAAAGTTCAGTGATGAACCTGGACCCTCAGACAGAAAGTAAGAAACCAGTTTCTAACTGATTCATGTGAATCTATAGAGATAAAATATAAATGATATGAACTGGTTGATCTCAGTGTTTGAATAAAAAGCATTTTTTATTGTAAATTAATTTAAAGCTGAATAAACATGAAGGATGTTGGTCAGAAAATCAGAATTTGAATGAAGGTCTGAATGAATCAATGATGAAAATGTTGCATGAAAACAAAACCAACCAAGAATGTGAAGAGCAATGGTCCAGTTTATATACTGGGAACACTGGGTCCAGTTGATCCAGGTAGGCTGATAACCTGGCCACGCCCACTGAGCCTCAGCAGCTCCAAACAGAAAGGTCAAAGGTCAAAGCGGCTCCAGAGGACTGGGCTGGACTTTTGGTTCTGAGGTTCTTCTTCCTGGTCGGTTCTTGGGTTCTGGTCTTTCATGATCCACATCGGCTCTTCAGACCAGATGAACAGCTTTAGTTCTGATCCTCTGCTCTCCACCTTCTGCCACTAGATGGCAGCAGTGAGACTCTTTGCAGTGCATTCTGGGTATTGGAGTTTTATCAATGGATACGACAGAAGAACTTTGTGGAATAATTCCTAGAAATATAATATGATCAGCTCCATCAAACTGGAACATGAGCCTGTTGTTCTGCAGGTTCTGCTGTGACCCAGAGAAAATGTTCAGTTTGACCCAACAGATCAGTCTGAATGTTTTATTCTGGAGCTTTAAACTTTCTGCTTCTGTGCAGCAGTTTGTGTTCAGAGCTTCTTCTCTGGTTTTTATCTCAGTTTCTCACTGATTGATGATCTGGATAACAACATGTTTGTGTTTCAGAGGGCAGAACCACAGATGGAGAGCAGAACCTCCAGGACCCATCAGTCCGTCTATGAGGAGTGACCGGTCCAAACCAGATCCTCCAGACTTCAGTAATGAACCTGGATCATCAGAACCAGAGTAAGAAACCAGTTTCTAACTGATTCATGTGAATCTATAGAGAAAAAATATAAATTAACTGGTTGATCTCAGTGTTTTAATAAACAGTAACTTAATTTTCTTACTGATTAATTTAAAGTTAGACATGAAGGATGTTGGTCAGTAAATGAGTTTGAATGAATTAATATGGATTAAAATGTTGCATGAAAACAAAAACATGTGAGGAGCAACAATTCAGATTGTCTGTAAACCCACTGAAGCAGTGAAACCAGCATCTTCCAGACTGGGAACACTGGCATCAGTCATCATACCAAATATAATTCAATGAAGTACTTAAAACCAGAAATCATCAATGTTCTGAGGTTCTGTTCTGACCCAGTTTCTGGTCCCTGGTTCTTTGTGGACCTGCATGAACATGTCCAGCTCCAGCCTGTTGCTAGTGAATATTTCAGTGATGAAGAAATGTCTTCACAGGAGCAGCTTTAGTGAGGAGGAGCTTCCATCCTGCTGTGCTTTGGGTCAGAATGTTCTGATGGATCCAGGCTGGACCAGCTGCCCCCAGTGTGGGAAACGACCCAGAACAGGATCTGGACCGACAGCCAATCAGAGCAGCCGTGCTCCAGGTGAGACTGAACATGTCCAATCAGAGCTTCTTCCTTCCAGATCCACGTCTTTAGTTGAGATTTGAACATTTAAGGATTAAAAGTTTTATGTCTCAGTAACTCAACTTAATAAACTATTCATTTAATTTCAGCCTGTTCAAAAAATGGCCACAAGATAAATGTACAAATTTGACTTTATTTTGTTCATTTTAAAATGAGAAGTGAAGACTCTTACTCTGAAGGGTCATGTTGCAGCAAGTTAAAATAATCATAATATGATGAATCTGCACATTTTAGTTAAAATCATAGACATTGTAAAACTCATAGCTGAAGGGTTTCTGTATTTTATGTTTTCTCCTACATATTATGTTATTTCTAAGTTATTTAAGTGCCATAAGGTCTGTATTATTATTATTATAATTATTAATATTGTTTTTAATTTTAAAATGAGCAGCTCTAAATAAAACATTTCATAGAATCAATTTGATGATTCTTACAGATAATTTTATTTGTGTTTCAGCACATTATGAGTTTTAGGGGAATGAAATAGCAGAAAGGATGGCTCAGGGTATTGGTTGATATTAATGTTATGTTTAGAATAACAGAAATAAAGTGAATAATAAAACAATAAAAGAAAGAGAGGTGACAAAAGTTCTGGGTCAGCAAATTGCCCACCTGCCAATATGGTTAATCTGATTCTGCTGAAAAGGATTTTTATCCTACTTTTATTGGTTATTACACCAGGCCGTTAAGGTTCTGCTGGAAAATTGCATCTTACAATTCAGAAAATGACTAAAGGACAATTCCACATAATTTCTCGCCACATTGAGCATCTTTAATGTGATCTACTTCAAAACTAAAATGGTTTTCACGAGGCAGAAAGTGATTTTGAGCAACCTCAGAGGTCACTGAAGTCTCTGAAAAGCTCCTGGTTCAAGGTTGAGGTTCAGCCTGGAGATGATGGTAAATGTAGAATATAATAAGGAGTTATGTTACAGAAAAGCTTCTTCAGGAAGTGAATAGTTTGTGATCCAAACGTTGTTGGAGAACAATCAGGCAGATGAATGTGAGGACAGCAGAGCTGCAGCAGCAACAGAGGAGTGGAGGACAATCTGGGGACCAACAACTAGAACAGAAACCTTTATTCACTCTGACAATATAACACAGACTGCATTATATATATTTACAGTATGAATGCAAAATGTAATAATACTAACAATCTGAGGAAAGTCATTTTAAATGTGAACATTATCGACATAATGAGTCATTTCTTTGGCAGATTAAAGCTTTTTCTCCAGATTTTTTTCATAAAGGCTGAAAAATGAAGGGAGGAAACATTTTTCTGTTTCTATAAGGACAATGATGACATGATGCAGAAGAGTTGATGTTACTGAAAACTCCTGGATTCAATGACTCTGATGGTTTTGTTCCAACTTTATCACTGCATCATGTTTTTTACTACATTTGTCTTCTGTGTTTCATTTTTAAGTCTGAATTGTAAATGTGTGGCAGTGAGCATGTAGAAACAGTAAAAACAGAGAGAGGAGAATGAAAACATGTCCATACATAGAGTATGGAATATTCAGAACAATTCAAAGAGCATCAAACGTTATAAAACTGCGTTTTGAAGCCAAAATACCTTAGAAATATTCTGAGCCAACCATGAGAATCAAGGCATTTCAAAATAAAACTCAGTTTCACACAAAGACGCAGCTTAAATGTTTGGCTGTTGAACTGAATTGTTCAAAGTGGCAATAAAGTTAATAATCTATCAGCAGCTTCACAAATCTCTTTTATAAACATTACATTACCAAGACACATTAAAACAAACCTTTATCTTGGATTCTTTCTATTCTCCCTCTTTTCTTTCTCCCTGAATGATAAATCATTTTTTAGACATTGTTTTCCAACTTATCTTCTGATCAGAGCTTTGGACGTTTGGATCGGTTCTGGAAGCACCAGGAGCTATTTTATTCTTTTGGTCTATAAAACTATGATTTCTACATACATTATCAAATATATTGTAACAAACCACTTCATGAGGAAATTGTGTGATTATGTCATTGTGATGACATAGAAATGGATATAAAATAAATCAGGTCCACTGATGGGGCCCCTTGGAGGCCCTGGGGCTGCTTAGTTTCTTGGGCCGGCCCTGAGACTGACGTTGGAATAACTTTCTCTAATTATTGAATTATGTTTCCTTCATCAAAGTTTATGAAGAAGAACCAAACTGGCCACTTTATTAGTCCAGCAAATTGTTTTTATTTTGTTTATTTTCTTTCTTTTTTCAGATATTGTTGATCTGTATCAGCCTGACCTTAAAGCATCTCTGAAGATGATGTTCCAAAGTCTCTCTGAAGGCGTCGCTGAACATGGAAATAAAACCGATCTGAACCAGATCTACACTGAGCTCTACATCACAGAGTGGTCAACTAGAGAGGTCAACCAGGAACATGAGGTCAGACAGATTGAAACAGCATCCAGGAAACAAGAAACAATCAGAAGAGAAGACATCTTTAAAGTCCCACCTGGAGGAGATCAGCCAATCAGAACAGTGATGACCATGGGCGTGGCTGGCATTGGGAAAACACTGTTAACACAGAAGTTCACTCTGGACTGGGCTGAAGGCAAAACCAACCAGAACATTGAGTTCATATTTCCATTCACCTTCAGAGAACTGAATTTACTGAGAGAGAAAAAGTTCAGCTTATTAGAACTGATTCATGAACGATTCACTAAAACCAAAGGAATCAGAAACTTTGAATCGTTCCAGGTTCTGTTCATCTTTGATGGTCTGGATGAAAGTCGATTTAATCTGGATTTCAAGAACAATCTGATCCTGACTGATGTTACAGAGTCCAGCTCAGTGGATGTTCTGCTGACAAACCTCATCAGGAAGGAACTGCTTCCCTCTGCTCTCCTCTGGATAACCACACGACCTGCAGCAGCCAATCAGATCCCTGCTCAGTGTGTTGACATGGTAACAGAGGTCAGAGGGTTCACTGACCCCCAGAAGGAGGAATACTTCAGGAAGAGATTCAGAGATGATGAAGAGAAGGCCAGCAGGATCATCTCCCACATCCAGAAATCCAAAAGTCTCCACATCATGTGTCACATCCCCGTCTTCTGCTGGATCACTGCTAAAGTTCTGGAGGATGTGATGAAGACCAGAGAGAGAGAGAAACTACCCAAGACTCTGACTGAGATGTACATAGAGTTCCTGAAGGTTCAACTCAAAATCAAGGAGGAAAAATATGATGGAGGAAAAAAGAGCAAATCTATCTGGAGTCCAGAGAACAGGAAGCTGATTGAGTCTCTAGGAAAACTGGCTTTTGATCAGCTGCTGAAGGGAAACCTGATCTTCTATGACAAAGATCTCACACAGTGCGGCATCAACATCCAAGATGCTGCGTTGTTCTCAGGAGTTTTCACTGAGATGTTTAAAAGAGAGAGAGGGACACGCGACGTCTCCATCTACTCCTTTGTTCATCTGAGCATCCAGGAGTTTCTGGCTGCAGTCTACATGCTCCACTGCTTCACCAGCAGGAAGTCAGAGGAGATCAAGACGTTCCTGGGAGACGAATGCAGAGAATCATCTCTAGATGAGTTCATGAAGAAAGTCATGGAGAAATCCCTCAGCAGTGAAAATGGCCACCTGGACCTGTTTGTCCGCTTCCTTCATGGTCTCACTGTGGAGTCCAACCAGAGAGACTTAGAAGATCTGCTGGGTCAGACAGAGACCAGTCCAGAAACCATCCAGAGAATCATCACCAACCTGAAGGAGATGAACGCTGATAGAATCTCTCCTGCCAGAAGCATCAACATCTTCTACTGTCTGGTGGAGATGAACGACGTCTCATTTTATCAGGAGATCCAACGGCTGCTGGATTCAGGGAAGAAGCTCTCAGAGTCTGACTGTTCAGCTCTGGCCTTCATGCTGCAGATGTCAGAGAAGGTTCTGGATGAGTTGGACCTGAAGAAGTACAACACATCAGAATCAGGACGACAGAGACTGGTTCCAGCTGTGAGGAACTGCAGAAAGGCTCGGTGAGTCCAGATGTTTTCATTGTGTGATGCTGATTCAGCTCTATTGTCCTCCTGTTTCTTCTTCTGTCTTCAAGTTGATTCTGGATGTTTTTGCTCTTTATCTACTTCCTTCATCCTCTGGATTATTTTTCATAAACTTTATATTTTGTTGTTTTTACAGTTTCAGAAATATAAATACTTTGAACATTCAAACCTCCACTAACAAAAGCTGCAAAGTATCTTGTTGAACAAAGACAATTAAATAATAAAACAATAAAAGCCAAAGTGAGAACTTTCACAATAAAACTAGATGATTACATTGATCCTCCAGTTGGTTCCAGGTTCAGGTTTCTTCTCTTCCAATATTTTTATTGATCAGCAGAAAGTCTTCATGACAGTCAGTCTCTCCACTGGATGAATTTCCTTAATTATTTCCTTCCAGTCTAATGTGAATGTTCTGATGATCATCATCATCATCATCAGTGTTGCATGTTATTCGCCCAGGAAAACATTAAAACATTCTGGGGAGGAAATTTCACATGTTCTCTGATGAGATTAAAATAAGTTTGTGTCAAACTGACTGTCTGTTCGTGTCTGCTGCTCCTTTGTGGTGTTAATTTAAAAACTCAGCATGCAGAAGCTGCTGGTTGCTTATCTTGACTCTGAGAGCATTCTGCTAAAGAAACCAGGTTCTGCAGAGCAAGAGAGACGTTTTGTAACAAGCAGAAATATTAAGTAGGGAACTGGTTACAGGTCTGAGAACAAACACAAAGCGTTCGGTTCCCCATGTACACTCAATCAATCAATCAATCAATCAATCAATCAATCAATCAGTCAATCAATCAATCAATCAATCAATCAATCAATCTGATTGATTGATGTACACTCACTGCTAAGTTAATGATGAATATTCATGAATATTTATCTTATGCTAGTCGACACATACAGTTACATTTAGCTATCAAGCTGCAGCATTTATGCTGCACTATGCTGTAGCATCATAAATGCTGCAGCATAGTGCAGCATCATAAATGCTGCACTATGCTGCAGCATTTATGATGCTGCAGCTCGTGGTAAAAATGAGTCAATTTTTTAAAATAAAGTTGTTTATCAGAAAACCTAAAGATCAAATCAGGATTGATTTAACACCAGAGACAGAAAAATAGAGCAAAAGGTGATTTGAACTGCAGTTGGAACAATTATTGACAATATATACAGGGGTTAAAGTTCATCAATAACTGGTTCAATCCTCCATTAATCACAAACACTGAAAAATAAGTTGATTAAATTCATTAAAAATGTCCAAATGCTGATAAAGATCCAGTTCAGTTTCACCAAACCAAGAACCAAAGTACTGAAGAGGGAGTTGGGAAAGCATTTATTGATTTAATATAGATCAGATATTGACTCGATCAATATCTGCCGATAACAGATATTGATCAGTTATCGGCGTTTGATTCATTAATTTCAACCTCAAATGATTCGTTGACACATTTTCAACTTTGGTTCTGACTAGAATTGGATGATTGTTTGCTGATTGATCATTGATTATGGACCAGAAATCAACCATTCTGACTATAATCCATCGTTGACGTAGCATCCTGTGCTATCAGGTCGGCTAACTCTGGTCAGTTAGCGTTAGCAGTTAGCGTTAGCAGTTAGCGTTAGCAGCTCATCGTCTGGTCTTGTTCCTTAATAGTTCCTCCCATAATGTTGTTGTTCTCTGATGGATCAATAAAAGCAGCAACGTGGCGATGAGGGTTCAGCCTCGGCCACAGACCCTTTCCTGAATCTGATAATCCACATTAATCTTAATCCTGGCAGAATGTGATTCATACAGACTGAAACAACCTATAATCTGATTATTAAAGCCAAATCTGTCCAGAGCTCAATAAAGATATTTCCAACACATTGAATCAAAAGCCTTTTCAGCATCTAAATGACTTTATTGATTCTGTTTAACCTTTGACCTGTGAGGTCAGGAGCCCACGTTGTCATGGGTTTGAATGTTGATGATAAAACCAGATTAAATCTGATCTGTGTCTGTAATTCCTGGGATTATAATATTTATCCAGTGTTGCTGCAGTGATCCTGTAATCAATGTTTCAAACTGATGTTGGTTTATGAACCACATCCAGTTTCATCTTTACCAGGTTTAGGAATCACTGACATCTCTGCTCTGATCCAAGATGGCGGCGTTTCCCCTCCACAAAGTTCTGATCTAATCAATCCTTCAGCAGCCGCTCTGCCGGGTCGCCTCCTCACCTGCCGTCTGATTCCCTTTCAGTCTTTAATGACTTTATTGATCAGTGATTAGTTGTTAGTGGATGATTTTGATCTGTTCCTATCGATGGTGAATCCAGAGCAGCAGCAAAAACTGCATGAGGCTGAGAGCAGAACTGAGTGGAGGATCATTCAACAGATTCTCATGTGTTTTAGAGATCGGTGTCTTTATCTGTTGGATTTTAATTTATTGATAAATCTATTAGTTTGCTATCAGTTTCTTTGCTTTGATCTATTTCCATAATAGTTGAGTTGAATAAATTTATCCTTTTCCTCCATCTGGTTTCATAGAAACAGTTTCTTGTTTCTCTGATTTGTTATTATTATTATTTTCCATACGTTGTATTTGTAGAGATTTTAGTTTTCTAATCTTTTAAACATTTCTCTCTTTCTCGTTAGAGAACCAGATAATTAAAGTTTTTGCTTCGTCCCATAAAATCCAGGGAGAAAAATCCTCTGTGTTGTTCTGGTTCAAATCATCTTTGAGTCGTTTTTCCTGAAATCTGTTAAATTTAGTGTCATTAATAAACTATAATTATTGTTGATTCTCCACAGGGTTTCTTTGGTTCATGACCCAAAAGGGTCCGGCCCTTTCCAGGCCCTGGTCTATCCCTGGTCTTGCGCTGGTCCGACCCGGATCTGGCCCTGGGCTGGCCCTGGTCCGGCCCTGGTCTGGCCCGGGTCCGGTCCTGGTCTGGCGCTGGTCCGGCGCTGGTCCGGCCCGGGTCCGGCCCTGGTCCGGCCCAGATCCGGCCCTTTCCAGGCCCTGGTCTGGCCCGGATCCGGCCCTTTCCTGGCCCGGTTCTGTCCCTGGTCTTGCGCTGGTCTGGCCCGGATCCGGCCCTTTCCTGGCCCGGGTCTGTCCCTGGTCTTGCGCTGGTCCGGCCCGGATCCGGCCCTTTCCTGGCCCTGGTTTTGCCGTGGCCCGGCCCTGGTCCGGCCCGGATCCCGCCCAGGTTCGGCCCGAGTCCGGCCCTTTCCTGGCCCGGGTCTATCCCTGGTCCTGCGCTGGTCCGGCCCGGATCTGGCCCTGGTCCGGCCCTGGTCTGGCCCGGGTCCGGTCCTGATCTGGCCGTGGCCTGGCCCTGGTCCGGCCCTGATCCGGCCCGGGTCCGGCCCTGGTCTGGCCCTGGTCTTGCGCTGGTCTGGCCCGGGTCCGGCCCGGATCCGGCCCTTTCCTGGCCTGGTTTTGCCGTGGTCCGGCCCTGGTCCGGCCCGGATCCGGCCCAGGTTCGGCCCGAGTCCGGCCCTTTCCTGGCCCGGGTCTATCCCTGGTCTTGCGCTGGTCCGGCCCGGATCTGGCCCTGGGCTGGCCCTGGTCCGGCCCTGGTCTGGCGCTGGTCCGGCGCTGGTCCGGCGCTGGTCCGGCCTGGATCCGGCCCTTTCCAGGCCCGGGTCTGACCCTGGTCTTGCGCTGGTCTGGCTCGGGTCTGGCCCGGGTCCGGTCCTGGTCTGGCCCGGGTCCGGTCCTGGTCTGGCGCTGGTCCGTCCCGGGTCCGGCCCGGGTCTTTGCCGATCTCATAAGTATATTTTAAAATGACCATTTCCAGTGGGGTGACAGTAGGGGTGGCAAGGCCTCTGTTGGGGGTGGCAAATGCAATCCCTGCCACCCTCTGTCTCCGCCTCTGCTGTCTGAGACGTTTTAATTTTGCTGGAGACCAGAAAATGATTTTAGTGAAAGTTCCAGTTTCATATCAATATCTGATACTTTGAGTCCAAAATGTTCCTAATAATCATTACTTACTGTCAACACATTGAATCAGGAGATTCTCTATGATCCATGCAGCAGAAAATGGATCCCAACATCTTCTAGTTACTGGAGAAATTTCACTGCTTCATCATGAAAAATGGACCCAAACACTCTGGTTCTGGTTCTGTCCACCATGATCCATATCATCACTATAGTAGATCAGACTGATGGACTGAGAGTTTATCAGTCTGTCTCATCTCAATGTGTGCAGACATATTAATGAGGATCATCTGCAGATCCTGGGTCACCTGGACCCGGTTCTGACCCAGTCCAGACGGTTCAGACCGGAAGGAGCAGCAGGACCGGTTCTGCTGCTGCTCTGCAGGACGACCAGAACAACATGAAGCTTTTAGCTGCAGCAGGTTGACGACTGTCCACTTTCTACTTTGTTAAAGCATCAAATCCAGCAGATGAACGGAGACAGAACTGGAGCATCATGTGTTTGTTCTGCTCCCAGTTTCCTCTGTGGCAGCATTTAATAACCTGCTGCTGGGAAACATGTTTCTATACAATATATTACTATTATTCATGATGATGCAGCAGATAGTGGCTCAACAAACCCAGAGATGCCAGAGGTCCACAGCAGCTGGACTTCCTGTTCTGCTCACTTCATTTAGAACTCACTTCCTGCTTGATCTAAACGGTCTAGTCCAAGTCAGAGCTGTGAGCAGTTCCTCCTCCTCTCCATCATCTCCAGTCGTTTCCTTCATTCAGCTCAGTCAGCCTCTTCATCAGCTGCTGCAGAGAAACTGAACTTTCCTTCACTGATGATAGAAGATCTTCAACATCTGACTGCAGCTGAAGGTCTGAGGACATGAAGCCTGGACCAGAACCAGAACCAGAACCTGGACCAGAACCAGAACCAGAACCTGGACCAGAACCAGAACCTGGACCAGAACTAGAACCTGGACCAGAACCAGATCCTGAACCTGGACCTGGACCAGAACCTGGACCAGAACCAGAACCTAAACCTAAACCTGAACCTGGACCAGAACCAGAACCTGGACCAGAACCTGGACCAGAACCAGAACCAGAACTGGATCAGAACCAGAACCTGGACCAGAACCAGAACCAGAACCAGAACCTGGACCAGAACCAGAACCTGGACCAGAACCAGAACCAGAACCAGAACCTGGACCAGAACCAGAACCTGGACTTTAACCAGGAACTGCACAGATTCTCTGTGGGGTCAAACTCAGTAGATATTGATCAGATGATGATCAGATGATGATCAGATGATGACATCACTGTTATCATATTTTAGTCTGTTTATGATCCAGATTGATTTCATTAGAACTGAATTTATTTCTTCTCTAATCACAGACTTGGTGACTGTTCGCTCCAAAAGGCTGAATGTGAAGTTTTGGCCTCGGCTCTGAAGTCCAACCCAGATCTGACTGAACTGGAAATAAATCAGATCTACATGTATAAAGGTGGAGAATCTGATATGAAGCATCTGGTTGAGATCCTGGAGAATTCAGTCAGTAAAGTGAAGCATATGGGGTTTGTTTTCTCTATTTATTCAATAAAATCATTTATTGATTCTTTAATCAATAGTTAATCAATTTAATGTTAATATATATTATTTTAAAACAACTTGTTTAATCATGAGAATAAAATCTCTAAAACTTTTGACCTTATTAATTATTTTCTTATTTCAGACTTTGAGATTATTGAACTTTGTTTTTCAGTTTTTCTCTTTAAAATGTTTTTGATGAACAAAATGAGTAAAATAATTGAAATGCTGTGAATGAATGATGGAGATGTTTCAGTTTGGTAAAGATTCAGATGCTTTTATTTCTGATTCTTTACATCAGAATGAAATGTTGATCCTCCAGAGCCACAAACACTGACGAGTTCAAATCCTCATTAATGAACGTCTAAGAAACCACTGATTGTAGAAAAGCAAATCTAGATGCAATGAATGAAAGTGAGGTTTGCAGCAGCAGCAGGTTCCTCAGCTTTGTCCTGAGGCTGTGGTTCTGTTGGGCCGGGTCAGAGAGGAACCGTCTCCTGAGGAAATAATGGCCTCCATTGGCTTTCAGCAGCTTTATTAGGAACCCAAAGGCCATTAATGAAGAACCTGACTGGTTCTGATCCAGTTACCAAGTCGGGTCTGATGATCAGGAACCAGCAGAAATAGCTCAACTCATCCAGACTGATAGAAAACTTTGAGTTTCTTTGTTGATCAAATGTTCTGGTTCTGCTGGTTTGGACTCTTTAAACCAGTTTGACTGGATCAGATGTTAGAATCAGTTCATCATGTTTCTTTTACATTCAGGGAAATTAATTTATACATTTTATTATTGATTTGTTTATATTTCAGTTTTAACTGCATCCTGTTGGTTCACATCTTTTTCTTTATTCAGATTGAGTGGCTGCAGTTTCTCAGAGACCACTGGACGTCTCTGTTCTCAGCTCTGAAGTCCAACCCGACCCATCTGACAGTACTGGGCCTGATCAGAACCAACCTGGAAGATTCTGGACTGAAGGATCTCTGTGGTTTTCTACAGACTGAAGGCTGCAGACTGGAGATATTGGTGTATGTAATGATATAATTATTGATATTTCTGTGAATAATTCTATATAATTGATCATCAATCAAAGTTCATTTCTTCTGATCTAATCAATATTTTCTGAGTTTGTTCCTGGATCCAGAGTTTAATTTAGTTTCTCTGTGTAACTGAGTTGGACCTGCTGATCTGAGGTCAGAACAGGACAGCATTCGGACCCCAGTGTGTAGAAATCCCCCTCAGGTCAAGCAGGTCAAAGGTCATCCAGTCTAGAAAAGTGAAATCCTGGAATCTGACAGGAACAAATCAATAATCAATGATTGATGCTTCAACACTTTGATCAGAACCTGGAATGATTTTACTGACTAAAATCCTCCAACACATCATGACCCAGTACCAGGTTCTGGTTCTGGTTCTGAAGTCAGCAGGTCTTTATTGGAGCAGCAGCTTGTTGGCATTAATATTCATGAGAATCTTTAACTGGTTCTGTTGGACTGGTTAACCTGCATCCTGTTGGTTCACATCTTTTATTCTTTATTCAGGTTGATTGACTGCAGGTTGTCAAAGATCAGCTGTGATTATTTGGCTTCAGCTCTGAAGTCCAACCCGACCCGTCTGACAGAACTGGTCCTGAGAGAAAACAACCTGAAGGAATCAGATGTTCAGCAGCTGAAGGATCTTGTAGAGACTTTAGAGTAAGTAAATGTTTGTAGTGAGTCCAGCTGCTGTCAGCATATTGAACTAAACCCAGTCAGCATCAAAGCAAAGATCCAGTGTTCCCAGTAAAGCTGCAGCTTCTCAGTGGGAGGAGAATGGTTCAGGCTTCCTGATTGGACACAGCAATCAGCCAATCACAGGAACAGCAGCTTGCTGTGTTGTTGCTGTGTCCATGTCTCCAGGACGTCCAGCTGGACTCCAGCCGTCCAACATGTCTAGAGACAGTGGTCCTCATTCATCAAACAGCAGCAGATCTGATCTCAGACCTGCTTGTTCTCTCAGTTCAACAGGAAACAACTGATCAGGTTCATCTTGGTCACAGCTCTGAGATCAGTCTGACTGGAAACCATCTACTGGATGTGCTGCGTCACTGACTGCTACTGGAAACACTCACTGATCTGCTCTCCTTCCTTCTTCTCTCTGCAGGTGGAGATGATCTCTGTAAAGTAGAGAACGTCTCTGTGTCCTGCTGATCCTCACAGGTTGAAGCTGCAGCAGTTTGAGTCTAAAGAGACTCTGGATCAAGATGATGACCTTTGACCTCAGAACATTTTCTATTTCAAATATTTTCCAGACGTCGATTGTTGAAGATTTTCAGTTTTATTTTTCATCTGATCTGTTTGATGATCTGCAGGAACAAAAGAGAGAAAAATACTCTGAGTTTGTTAGAAAAGTTGAATTGAGCAAAACATGAAGCATAAATTTCATTAAAAAGCTTTAAAGAGTTTGTTAATGGGACAAAATGTCATTTTATTCTGTTGAGGTGAAAAAAGTTGATCTAAAATCAGACATGATAGCAGCTCTATAGATTCAGAGCCAAACAGTAAAACTTCCTCTGGATCTGTGGCATTAAATCCACTTGAGATCCAGACGTCCTGACCAGATCCTGCAGAGAAAAGAAACAATATTTGAACGTGGATCATTTGGACTCGGCTGCTTGGATGTGTGTTTGGATTTGAAAGGTTTGTTGTGAAGCAGAAAGTTGATGAAGTTCACAGTGAAGACGACTTCAGTCCACCTGAAACCTGGTTTCACTCAAACGTCTTTATTCACTTTAAGTTTCTGATGCAACAAGAAGGAAGAAAAGGTCAAAGGTGAACCAGAGATCGACTCCATGTTGCTCACAGATGTGATGGGATCAGTTTGCACAGCTGTTCAAGGAGAACAGTTTTATTTTCCTGCTTTTGTTGATGGATGCAAATTTGCATCAGAAGATGAGAAAATAACTTTCTGTGGTTTATTTGTGTGGATTTAAAGTGGAACAAGTTTAAAGAAAAACTAGAGGAGAAACCTGAGCCAGCGTTCTGACAGACCAAACACTGAGGAAGCAGAGTTTGCATCGTCAAAGTGACGAAATCATCTGAATGTTGTGACTCGTTTCCCATCAAATCCCTGACAGGAGAAGCAAAACCTCACGTCTCCAACATGAAGCTGCAACAGGATGCAGAACTTCCACCGAGCGTCACGTCACTCACAGCAGATCAGGAGCCTCGCTCTTCACCTCAACACCGCCTAAAACCTGGGACCAGGGGTTAAAGGTCATCTCCTGCACCTAGTGCAACATTTCACTTCTCATGAGAGCGCGTCTCAGTTTAGAGGCCAAAACCAGCAAGAAGCTTCAGAGTTTTCCTGCAACATAGCTCTGGTCTATTGGCTTCAGTGAGGCTGGTTTTACTGAAGATGTGTTCAGGTACGCAGGAAAATTCAGCGCTGAGACAGACGGGACGAGCGACTCCACCTCTGATGATGCTTGGACAAAAGTTTATATGTTCATGAGATGAAACAGTTAATTTTCCTCACATATCAGGACATTCTCCATCGGTCATCCTGCCGTCGTTCTGGATTTATTCATTATTTACATCATCAATAGAAATTGTTCAACCAGATGTTTCTCTTTGTTTTAATTTTCACTGTTATAAAGTCAGATCAAGTCAGCTTACATTAGTGTTGTTAAATAAGAGTCACTGCAGGATTTTATTCAGTTTGATTAGAAATAAAACGTCTTGTAAAGAGTTTATTACAGCAGCTTTTTTTTATAATTTAAACAGTTTTTAAAATAATAAAGAACAGTTGTTCTTATGTCAGCTGGTTGTTTTTTCTTGATATTTGAAGCTTTTTCACACTTTCATTCTCAAAATTAACAACAGTTAATATTTCTGGGATTGTTACACAATAAAATGTAGGATTTTTTCAAACTAAATTTCCATCTATTGTAAAATAAAATATTACTTTATAAGTAGTTGTTCACTTTGTATCTAAATTATTCTAATAATTAATCTCTATCTCTAATAACATACATGTATGAAATATATAAATTATTATTCACAGGATTAAGTTAATATAACTTGTCATTAGAAACTAGTGAAAAGTTTAAAAGTTTATTAGTTTTATGATGGTTGATTGAGTTCTTACTGCCCTCTGGTGGTGAACTATCATAACTACAGACATTCTTCATATAAATTGTTAAACCGGATGTTTGTTTTAATGTAAAATTTTATAACGTCAGATCAAAGTTAACTCCAAACAGTGAATCAAAATATGTCTGAATAACAAACTAGACAGAAATCTGTGATAATGACTCGGGATGTCTTTTAGTTTTTCTCTAAACTCCACATTAATGGATATTAAACATAAATAATGCGGCATTTCTCAGGGCTGTAGTTCCCACTAAGGCCACCAGAGGGCGTAAATACCCCGCTCTGAATATAGAGGTGAGTTTGAAGAGCTGCAGCTGGTTTCTGGAAATCAGTGTTTTATCTGTCAGTGTGAACTAGAAGCATCTCCACAGAGACGAAAACATCCCGCAGAGACTCTGAGCGGAGCTAACGATGCTAACAGACTAGCAGCGGCTTCAGAGGAGCTGTGGTTCTTAAAACTGGAGCTTCAGCTCAAACAGAGCTGAAACAAACTCTGGTTTAGGCGATAAGATGCTGAGCTTCCGGTCTGAAGGTAGGAAAATATTTATGAAAAGTTTAATTATCCTGCAAACAGTCAGAATAATGTTGATATTTTAGCTGCAGAGCCGCGCGAACTGAACTATTAATATCAGAGCAGGGCGGTTTCTGCCCTCTAGCGGACCCAGATGATAACTACACCTACTTGATAAAGTTAGAGCGTTTACAAACTACATTCACTTCGGTGAGTACTTTCACATTAAGAGCCATAGAAACGAGTTCCTCTGTTAGCTTTCATTTGAAATAAGACATTTTACTTCTGTTGTTTTTCTCTCTGAAACAAAAAACTGTTATTCAAAAGCAGCAAATTAAATTTTACTCATCTCAAACTGAAATGATTATCAATTCATAAAAGTATTTTAATAACATTAAGAGCAGCCCCATCTCTGACCCGGTTCCCCTCTGACCCGGTTCCATCTCTGACCCGGTTCCATCTCTGACCGGTTCCCTCTCTGACCCGGTTCCCTCTCTGACCCGGTTCTCTCTGACCCGGTTTCCTCTGACTCTCTTGCGTTCATGAAATCAGTTCCTTCATTCAGAGACTCAAACTGAAATGTTCTTCAGTGAAGAAGAAACTTCATCTGGTTCTGATGTTGAAGCTGCAGCTTGAATCCGTCTCAGGATTCGGATCAGAATCCAGTTCGTATCACCGATCAGCATCACTGTGGCTCCAGAACCTGGCCTATCTCTACCTGTGCAGGCCGGTTGAGGCCAAGAGGTCAGAGGGCAGAACCAGAACTGGATGGTGCCGTCATGTCGATGTTTAGATTTAATCTAAAAATTAAAGATTAAATCTCTCTAATATAAATTAGAGAGATTTTAGATTCTCTCTAAAGTCTCAACTTTTAGAGATTCTCTGGAGATAAAACAGAAAATTACAGTTGGAATAACAAAGGTCAGTTTGAATTATGAGACAAGAGTTTGTGATAATTTATTAAAGAATGTGACTTTTATACTAAAAGGTGTGGAAAGAAGAATCCAGTCAAACTTTTGCTGTTCTGCCAACAAAGTTTATTTATTGAGTCATTTGCACCAAAGCAGCTTTCAAAATGGCCGCCCTTACATCCAGCAGTCCATCAATTAACCAGTGAAGCCCCGCCTCTCAATTTGCCGGCCAATCAAAGTGCAGCCGGTTCTATAAAAGAGCTGTGTTTGAGGCGGGCCTCTTCTTTAGCAGAATCCCAAGATGGCTGCCGCAAAGGACTCACCCTGAAGGTAGCAAACATTTCACAGACAAAGACTCATTTACACGCTGGAATTCAAACAAGTTTTAGAAAAACTGAGTCCTTCCTAACAGAGACATGAAGTAACACGACAATGACCTGATTTCTGGAGCCTCGGCTCAAAACTCTGAGCTAAATAGAGGCTAAAAGCAGCTCAAGGTTCTGAAGCTACGATTCATAAGATGCAGGAGGAGAAACTCTGGAGAGTTTTTAGTTATTTAGTAATGAACTTTTCACAGTATTGCTGCATTTCATCTGCCATATATAATTATCAATAATGACTTGTTCATCTTTCCAGGTGAGCTGTGGTCTCCACTGGATGCAACAGCCAGAAGAGAAGCAGCACCAGTGCAGCAGAGGGCGCTGTTCAGGTGAGCGGTACCTCACCTGAAACCCACCGGAGGAGACAGGAAGTGATTTCATGTGTCCTCAACTCCTCAGGATGTCGATTGACTTCATACTTGCTGCAGCATCCAGTAAAAACAGAATCGGTTCAAACTTTGGCACTTTGCTGTTCAGGCCAACAGCTTTAGGTCTGTTGGACTTAAAGCTCAGAGTTTCTCTTTGAATAACTATATTTAAATAATTTTTCAGTTTCCAGTCTGCCATTTTCACCGTCTCTCCCAAGGAGAGCGTCTTCATTCCCGCCTCCCAGATGGTTGTAGCTCTGTAAGGTGATGGAGTTCAGGGCTGAGAGCTTCCAGCCTCAAATACTCACATGTTCAAGTTTAAAGAACGACTTCAAAACTAAAGTATAAAGAATCTAAGAACTGAAATCGCCCCAAAACAAATGATTGAACAAATAAAGCAAGCTGAGCCTGATGAACCAGATGTATCTGGCTCTGTTTGTACTTGTATGACTTTGTTAGCAGCTTTGACCTCTCAGTCTGAGAAGAGTCTCCTCTGAAGGAGAATCCTTTTCCAGATCAAACTCATCCAGATCTTTTTCTGATGACGGTAAGATGAAGACCAGAGCCGACCACCGAGCAGGAGACAGTTTACCAGAGGACAGACGTCCTGAACTCAGAGACTGTTGGATCTCCTCCACTAGAGAACGATGGTTCAGTTCATTCAGACAGTGGAAAAGGTTGATGATCTTCTCTACAGGCAGATTGTCGCTGATGTTCTTCTTTATGTACTGAACTGTCTCCTCATTGGTCTGAGCTGCTTCCTGTCTGTGTGTACGAGTCTCTGATTGGTCTGCAGCGACAGACCCAGCAGGAAGCGGACGACCAGGTCCAGGTTTCCATTTGGACTTCTTGAACAGCCATCTACTGCTCTGATGAATCATTTGTTTCTGTTTTCACTGCAGTTCTGTTTCCAGGATGTTGAAGAAAAGTCCTAAATCAGTAACTGGCAGAGTGAGAGAAACGAAAACCTGCTGTGGTGTTGATGTGTCAGTTCACTGGAAAAGGTTTTCACTGGGTGTAATTGTGACGTGCAGAAGAGAAATCCTGAACCAGGAAATATTTCAGTTTAGTTAAGATTCCTCAGATATTCCTGAGCTGAAAGCTGCGACACTTGTGTGAACATTTGTGGAAAGTAGTTTCAGTTCATGAGGTTTGAATGTGAATCTGAGTCGCCTTTTCTTGTTTTTCTCCGGGCAGAGGAGACGTGGAGATCAGCCTGGCTCCTGACGGTTCCACTCCGACCCAGATCTACAGAAACAGGTCGGTTCTAAGGTCCGGTCCAAACGACTCTCTGGACCCGAAACGCAGCAGAACATTCCAGCATCCAATCAAATGCGATGCAGACGTGCAAACATGCAGGAGAAATGTTGCAACCATTCAGCTCAAAAGGAGAAATTCGTAACAGACACAGAGTCTCTTTACAGACAGGAATATAATATTTATATGTAACGTAGAAGCGACGGCCATTTTAGACAGTTTAACGTCTGGATGCAGCGATCCGATGTTTCGTATTGACCATCTGAATTCATTTAAAACGGTTTTATGATTTGAAAACTGGTGTAAAAGTTGTGGATTATAAATGTAGCTGATAAGCAGCATCAGTGCAGCTGAATCCACCAGAAGCTCCAGTAGTTTAATAAATAATAAAGAAACAGATGAAAGCAACAAGTTGACCAACTCAGTTCAACATGTCGATAAACGGCGACAAACATTTGAAACGGTTCAGAAAGTCCGATTAGTAATTCTAAGTAAAACGCAAATTAAATAACGAAGCATTTTAAACATAACTTGCCTCTGGTCTAGTTAAAGCTCACAGATGAGCTACTTTCTGTTTTGCTTTGTTTTTAGTGCATCATGGAGCTGGCAGATGCGCTCCACTACAGAGACATCAAACCAGAGAACCTGTTGCTGGGAGGAAACGGGGAGCTGAAGATCGCTGACTTTGGTTCTTCTGTTCACATTCCATCTTTAAGGTATGTGCATGCTGACATGTTAGCATGCTCTGTAGTCATTTCAGCTCTGACATTGTGTTGTTCTGTCCATGCAGGAGGTCCACCCTGTGTGGATCGCTGGACGACCAAACTCAGGATGAGAAGGTGGACCTGTGGAGTCTGGGGGTTCTTTGCTATGAGTGTCTTGTTGGAAAACGTTCATTTGAAACAAAAAGTCACGATGAACCTACCGTAGGATTTCTAAGGTAAGAATGCTGATGAATGCAATAATTCAATTCCTAATTTTCACAGGAGTTTTATCCAAATATTTGAGCTTTTTGGAGCACAGAGATCCAAAATAAAAATCTTTTAGGCAGACGGACCAGCTAACATGTTGTTAATATTTATTATTGGTGTAGGTGGAGTACAGTTCCCCTCCACATGCTTCCATTAGTGCCGGAGCTAAAGACTTGCTGGCCAAGCTGCTGCAGCCCAACCCATGCACAGGTTGCCCATTGAAGGCGTCGTCTCCCATCCCTGGGTCCTCAAACGCTCCACCAAGACGCCCACGACTTGTGAGTCATTTCTGAGTACGTCTTTCCCAGCACCGGCTCCATCTTCCGTGTCCAGGATCCACTGATTTGGAAGGACAGTTCTCAATATTTTAAAAGTACATGACAGCCAAGAGGAATCATGTTAATAAAAGTCATCCTTTCATGTTTTGAATTTTTTGGGGGGTTTTGAATTCTGTTTTGTAAACATATTTACACACGAGAGGAAAGAGAGACAAATTAGCTGTAGATTTTTTGGTGGAGATGTTTTTAATCCAGCAGAAATTGAAGGGAGATTATCCCCATTTCTGAACTGGAACATGTGTTCTGAACTTTTAGATTTATTTTTCAAAAGAGTATTAAAATGGTAAAGCAGCAGTCACATTGAAACATTGAAGTATTATGGATATATGATGTTGTTCCTTTTAGTCTGCTTCCAGGAAGACGTCCTGCTCCATTTTTATGTCACTCTGCATGACTTGTAAGATTTGATCCTTTTCTTTATGCTGAACAAAATGTGTTTATTTGTCAAGCTGAAACGTCCGAGGGGTTTTGTTTGAGCCCAACATTTTTGCAGGGAAAGTCAATTATCTCTGCAGGTTTTCCATGAAAACTAACTGGTAAGTCGTTGTCAGTTTGAGATTTTCTTCCCTCTGTGTCCTTCTAGGTGAGACGCAGCCGCGGGAAAACAAAAAGACCAATTTTCACGTCCTCTACGGAACCAGAGAGACGGACTTTCAGACGGGGAAACAGCCGGAGACCATAACAGAACAGCCTTACCTCTGGTCATGTGCTCGGCCTCGCACATTCTGGGCGAGCGTTGGACGCATTCAGAGCTGAAGCTCAAATAAACATGCTTCTTAATGAAGCAAGAGCCACAACTGGCTAATGAAGTGGAGGAGGTGGCAATAGGTCAAATGAGCAACTTGAGGAAGCTGCTGCAATGGTATGTCGTTTTTTCTTCATTTTTTCGACAACATACTATATAGTATGTCGTTTTTTCAATATTTCGACAACATAATATAGTATGTCGGTTTTTTTTATTTTTGACAATATGGTATGTCATTTTTTTCAATATTTCGACATACTATATAGTATGTAGAAATGATAATATTGAAATGATACTTTATATTTAATAGGGAAGAAAAACAATGATATGTGTGAAGAATGTGGAGAAACATAGAACATGTATTAATGAACTGTAAAACATGAATGTGAAAGGGAGAAATTGAGAAGAATAGTTGGAAGGACAGATCAAGAATGGAGTTTGAAAGGAATACTGGGGAATGATGGAAATATAATGGATATTTGCATATTAAAGAAAGCACTATTTATTTATCTTCAAAATATGTAACTGATGTAAAATACTGTTGCTACACACTCGTGTACAGTAGGTGGCGGTATGCACCTTAAAGTTGCTTGCGATCCGCCATAATAGAAAAGAAGAAGAAGAAGGCCAGGGTTCTTGAGTTATTCTGAAATGTTTGTCTTTTTATTTAGAAAAGTAAAAAACTATTTTAAACAGGATCAGGAACTGAAGTCGGTCATGTAGTGAAAGACGACTGGATGGATCCGACTGACTGAAACTTTAACAACAAACATCCACAAGTTACTGGATGATGATAAAAACTATTTCCTCCTTTCTGGGTCTTTTTCTTCTGCCCAGATCATTGATTAATATCTGGATCAATACAGTGGAGATGCAGAGGAGATAATAATGTTCCTGTAAAGCTGATCACAGTCAAAAGACGTTTTTACACCAAGATTGAATCAAACTGACGGCTTTAAAACTTTTACACAGTAATGTTTCATTTTTAGATGTTGTTCATTATTATTTTACCTTTAATCTTCTACTAATCTGCACTAATGAAACTGTCTCTGTTATTTCTCAGGTTATAAATAAATGTTCAAACTGGTTGACAGGCTGGAAAACCATCAATCTGTCCTGATCAGAACCAGAACCAGAACCAGGCACCAACAGAGAGCAAATCAATCTCTAAAATGTCACATTTTAAGCTTTATCAGAAGCAGTTTGTTAGAAAATGCAGCAAAGACATTAAATTAAATATTGTAGAGTTAAAAGTGAGGCTGTCTGTGTGACAGATGAACCTCGACCCAAACTGAGGAAGGAGGAAACATTCCTGCACAGCAGAGACAGAAACTCATAAAACATCTTCCAGTGAACGGCTGCAGCAACTTAAAACCTGTTTGTAACTCTGCAGGTTTTTAACTGTCGTTGGAAACGTTTGAGACAAACTATTTGAACATCTTAAAGCCTCCAGGCTAAAAGAGACAAAGATTAAAGAAGTTTATGTTCAGTAGTGAAGGAGGATCAGGTGAGTTAGTAACACCATAAAAACACCAGGATAAAGTTGGTTCTGATCCGTTTGGATCACATTATGGCTTGTAACACCTGATCATTTTCAGCATTAAAACCTGTTTTTATAAAACCAAATCTCATTATTTCTCAGGGTTCTGGTCGGTCCTGAAACCGGTAAACGGACCTGGAGGATCACAGAGACAGAAATGATGAAACTCCAACAAAACTATGAGGAAACTGAAGCTCCTGACCTTTAACCTCCTCACAGCTCCATGGCTGAATGAGGAAACTGAAGGTCCGCCTTTCCTCAGAACTGGATCAGAACCGGTTCAGCAGCGTCTGAATCAGCCAATCAGCAGTGGAGTTTCTTCCTGCGTGTCTCTGCTGGTTCCAGTAGAAACGGTGATCTGGAGTCAGAGGTGATCCGCTGCTGGGATCCGATGGACGACTCTCTGTTCTGAGAGGAAGATGATGATGATGATGATGATGATGATGATGATGATCCTCCTGCTCGGTAAGATCATCTTCCTCTCTGCTCCTCATCCTCTCCAGTCTCTGCAAGCTGCTGATCAGCCTCAGATCCCTGCTCAGTGTGTTGACATGGTAACAGAGGTCAGAGGGTTCACTGACCCCCAGAAGGAGGAATACTTCAGGAAGAGATTCAGAGATGATGAAGAGAAGGCCAGCAGGATCATCTCCCACATCCAGAAATCCAAAAGTCTCCACATCATGTGTCACATCCCCGTCTTCTGCTGGATCACTGCTAACGTTCTGGAGGATGTGATGAAGACCAGAGAGAGAGAGAAAACTACCCAAGACTCTGACTGAGATGTACATAGAGTTCCTGAAGGTTCAACTCAACATCAAGGAGGAAAAATATGATGGAGGAAAAAAGAGCAAATCTATCTGGAGTCCAGAGAACAGGAAGCTGATTGAGTCTCTAGGAAAACTGGCTTTTGATCAGCTGCTGAAGGGAAACCTGATCTTCTATGACAAAGATCTCACACAGTGCGGCATCAACATCCAAGATGCTGCGTTGTTCTCAGGAGTTTTCACTGAGATGTTTAAAAGAGAGAGAGGGACACGCGAGGTCTCCGTCTACTCCTTTGTTCATCTGAGCATCCAGAGTTTCTGGCTGCAGTCTACATGCTCCACTGCTTCACCAGCAGGAAGTCAGAGGAGATCAAGACGTTCCTGGGAGACGAATACAGAGAAACATCTCTAGATGAGTTCATGAAGGAAGTCATGGAGAAATCCCTCAGCAGTCAAAATGGCCACCTGGACCTGTTTGTCCGCTTCCTTCATGGTCTCACTGTGGAGTCCAACCAGAGAGTCTTAGAAGATCTGCTGGGTCAGACAGAGACCAGTCCAGAAACCATCCAGAGAATCATCACCAACCTGAAGAAGATGAACACTGATAGAATCTCTCCTGACAGAAGCATCAACATCTTCTACTGTCTGGTGGAGATGAACGACGTCTCATTTTATCAGGAGATCCAACAGCTGCTGGATTCAGGGCAGTATCTCTCAGTGACTGACTGTTCAGCTCTGGCCTTCATGCTGCAGATGTCAAAGGTTCTGGATGAGTTGGACCTGGAGAAGTACAACACATCAGAATCAGGACGACGGAGACTGGTTCCAGCTGTGAGGAACTGCAGAAAGGCTCGGTGAGTCCAGATGTTTTCATTGTGTGATGCTGATTCAGCTCTATTGTCCTCCTGTTTCTTCTTCTGTCTTCAAGTTGATTCTGGATGTTTTGCTCTTATCTACTTCCTTCATCCTCTGGATTATTTCAGCCAATCAAACATCTAAACATTCAGCTCATCCAGGACAGATGCAGCTTCTGGTTTACACATTTTGATCATTTTAAAAATATTTCACTTTTTATCAGTTTTCAGGATGAAATGAATAGAAAACCCTGAACTCTAGAAAATCTATTTTCTCTAAGATCCAATCAGCCTGAGAAACTTTTAAACTTTAAACTCTTCACTCATTGAGCCGCTGCTCCATCAGTCACATTTTAGGATCTTTGACTGTTTTATAAAATTATTGTTTCAGTTTAATAAAAATGTTGACCATTCAAATAAACCATTGCATTAATTATAAACTATGTGAACAGTGTGATCTTCATCATCCTCTTCCTCCTCCCTCTAGTTTCCTCTGAGTTTGTAAATGAGACCAAAATGTGGTTTTGTCGTCTGGTTCCAGAAAAAGTTCTAGTTTCTGTCAGATCCTCCCAAAGCTGAGAATCTGCTTCCAGAGCTGGAACCATTTTCCTCATCAACTCTTCATCTGCAGCCTTTGTTGAAGCTGTTAGGTGTCCTCCATGAAGACCTGCAGAGACATGAGCTTCAACTCTGGAGACATCCAGCCTCTTCTAGTGACTGGAGAACTTTCACTGCTTCACCATGAAATGCTGCTGGACCCAAACGCTCCGTCTCTCCAGGGGTTTTGCTCTTCAGCTCTTTAGGAGTTTAGCAACAATTTCTCCTGACATCCAAACCTTTGTTCTGAGACAATGGACAGACCACTGCAGAGACATGTGTCCCTCTTCCAACCAGTTTGTCCCAGTTCTCTCAGATCCACAGTCTGAGAGGACGGTTCTGACCCGAAGGAGCAGCAGGACGGTTCTGCTGCTGCTCTGCAGGACGACCAGAACAACGTGAAGCTTTTAGCTGCAGCAGGTTGACGACTGTCCACTTTCTACTTTGTTAAAGCATCAAATCCAGCAGATGAACGGAGACAGAACTGGAGCATCATGTGTTTGTTCTGCTCCCAGTTTCCTCTGGCAGCATTTAATAACCTGCTGCTGGGAAACATGTTTCTATACAATATATTACTATTATTCATGATGATGCAGCAGATAGTGGCTCAACAAACCCAGAGATGCCAGAGGTCCACAGCAGCTGGACTTCCTGTTCTGCTCACTTCATTATAACTCACTTCCTGCTTGGTCTAAACGGTCTAGTCCAAGTCAGAGCTGTGAGCAGTTCCTCCTCCTCTCCATCTCCAGTCGTTTCCTTCATCAGCTCAGTCAGCCTCTTCATCAGCTGCTGCAGAGAAACTGAACTTTCCTTCACTGATGATAGAAGATCTTCAACATCTGACTGCAGCTGAAGGTCTGAGGACATGAAGCTGGACCAGAACCAGAACCAGAACCTGGACCAGAACCAGAACCTGGACCAGAACCAGAACTGGACCAGAACCAGAACCTGAACCTGGACTTTAACCAGGAACTGCACAGATTCTCTGTGGGGTCAAATCAGTAGATATTGATCAGATGATGATCAGATGATGACATCACTGTTATCATATTTTAGTCTGTTTATGATCCAGATGATTCATTAGAAAACTGAATTTATTCTCTAATCACAGACTTGGTGACTGTTCGCTCCAAAAGGCTGAATGTGAAGTTTTGGCCTCGACTCTGAAGTCCAAACCCAGATCTGATGAACTGGAAATAAATCAGATATCAACATAGAAAAAGCGGAGAATCTGATATGAATCATCTGGTTGAGATCCTGGAGAATTCAGTCAGTAAAGTGAAGAATCTGAGGTTTGTTTTCTCTATTTATTCAATAAAATCATTTATTGATTCTTTAATCAATAGTTAATCAATTTAATGTTAAATATATTTATTTTAAAAACAACCTGTTTAATTATCAGAATAAAATCTCTAAAAACTTTGACCTTATTAATTATTTTTATTTCAGACTTTGAGATTATTGAACTTTGTTTTCAGTTTTCTCTTTAAAATGTTTTTTGATGAACAAAATGAGTAAAATAATTGAAATGCTGTGAATGAATGATGAGATGTTTCAGTTTGGTAAAGATTCAGATGCTTTTATTTCTGATTCTTTACATCAGAATGAAATGTGATCCTCCAGAGCCACAAACACTGACGAGTTCAAATCCTCATTAATGACGTCTAAGAAACCACTGATTGTAGAAAAGCAAATCTAGATGCAATGAATGAAAGTGAGGTTTGCAGCAGCAGCAGGTTCCTCAGCTTTGTCCTGAGGCTGTGGTTCTGTTGGGCCGGGTCAGAGAGGAACCGTCTCCTGAGGAAATAATGGCCTCCATGGCTTTCAGCAGCTTTAATAGGAACCCAAAGGCCATTAATGAAGAACCTGACTGGTTCTGATCCAGTTACCAAGTGGGTCTGATGATCAGGAACAGCAGAAATAGCTCAACTCATCCAGACTGATAGAAAACTTTGAGTTTCTTTGTGATCAAATGTTCTGGTTTCTGGTTTGGACTCTTTAAACCAGTTTGACTGGATCAGATGTTAGAATCAGTCATCATGTTTCTTTTACATTCAGGGAAATTAATTTATACATTTTTATTATTGATTTGTTCATATTTCAGTTTTAAACTGCATCCTGTTGGTTCACATCTTTTATTCTTTATTCAGATTGTGGAGCTGCAGTTTCTCAGAGACCAGCTGGACGTCTCTGTTCTCAGCTCTGAAGTCCAACCCGACCCATCTGACAGACTGGACCTGAACAGAACAGAACAACCTGGAAGATTCTGGACTGAAGGATCTCTGTGTTTTCTACAGACTGAAGGCTGCAGACTGGAGACATTGAAGTATTTTAATGATATAATTATTGATATTTCTGTGAATAATTCTATATAATTGATCATAAATCAAAGTTCATTTCTTTGTAGAGAATAAAATATTAATTTGTGACCCATCAATTTATAAAAACTGCTTCCGGTATTTATCGCTCATTTCACTGCTGAACGAGCTTTGCTGTGAAGTAACGCGAGATCTGGTAGGTATCGCGAGAGCTGCGGGCTGGTGCCTCAGTCTGTGTCGCTGCTGGTCTCTTCGTGGTTGTTGTGTAAATGTCCTGCGTGATGTTCTGCCGGGATTAGTCCACGCGTCCAAGAGGACAACATGGCGGCGGCGGCAGAAGGTAAGGCCGTTGTCATGGCATCACGGTACCGAGCGCAGCTTGCTGATGTCCTCCGTGGACAGGTGTCCCCCTCCCACTCCCACGGAGGACATGAACGGGGCCGGTCGCTCATGGACTTCCTGGACGAGCCGTTCCCCGACGTGGGGACCTACGAGGATTTCCACACCCATCGACTGGCTGAGGGAGAAGTCCAGGGACACGGACCGGCACCGAAAGGTTCTGGAGGGCTGGGTTCGGCTTGTGGGGCGATGCCCACCCGCTCACCGTGTGCGTGTTTGTCCCGCAGATCACCAGCAAGAGCAAAGAGTCCATCTGGGAGCTGATCAAGAGCCTCCTGGACGCCTGGTCCGGATGGGTGGTGATGCTGCTCATCGGCCTGCTCTCTGGTACCGACCGACCCGGTTCCGTCCGGGACCCGGTTCTGTCTCTGTAACTCTGGTACCGAGCGATAATTCACACACCTGCTAGAAACTGATGGTTCCATTATTATCCTTTCTCTCTGAGAATGTGGACGGTACCGATAACAGTACCGGTACCGGGTCGGTTCTGAGCCCGGAATGATTTTAGCAAAAGTTTCACATAAATGATGTGAAAATAATGTTTGTATTTGAAGCTGCAGCTCAGAGCATCGATGTGTGATGATGGAAACATTTGGATTCAAACAGTTTTAATGATCATCAGGTTTTATAAACTTTGTGTTTTTGTTCATTAGACTCTAATCTTCCTACAGAGTCTTTAAATCTTTGGTTTAAAGACTTTTTATCAAGAAAATAGAAAAGCTCCAGTTCATTTATACAGCTTCCATAAACAACAACTTTTATCCTGGACATTATCATAAGCATAACTTTCCCCTCATAAACTGTTTTATTGGGAAAAAACCAAACATTAGCTTCAAGCATAAATCCCTATTTCTTTAGAACTATGTGGGAAATGATGTTCTATCTGTAAACAATTGTTTAATGATGGTTAATTTATTAGGAAATATAATTTTCCCTGCAGAATTTTCTGTTGTTTTCTATCAAGTTTCTCATATCAACCTCAGTTGAGACCAGATCCAATATTCCAGATTTCCAGAGTCATTTATTGGTCATTCAGAGCCGTTCTTTAGTATGAAAACCAGAAATCAACATATTAGAGAAATAATTCAGATGAATAATATTAGCAAAGCTGCTTCAATCTTTTATTGGAAACAATCTTTATTCAGATATTGATTGGGAACAAACATGGTTATTGCCAAGAAAGTGTTTGTGTCTATAATAAAGTACGGGAGGCGTCAAAGTTTTGCAGGTTTTAAATATTGTAATTCAGAACTGAATAAATATTTTCCAAATATCGATCCTCTTGCTCCTTTTGTCATTAACAGGTGGCGCCACTAGGTGTCGCTCTCCCCGCAGCCTGAGGCTCCATCAAGGGGAAACTGGAGGTCAGGTGTTGATTTCCTGGTTGATTCAGGTGTGGTTGGGTCACACGTTGTTGGTTGATGGTGGGAGTCACGTTACCTGGGTGTTGGTGCTCGACGCTGTAGGTACGTTTTATACTGTTGTTTTATTAAAGATGAATTGCATGTTTTTTATGTTTTGTTCTTATTTGGTGGATCCACCAGATTTGAGCTGATGGTGATTTGTGCCATGCAGGGCAGGCAGCGTTTTTAATGTGTGTTTAGATTGACTTGATTAAAATGATTGAATAAGTATTCAGTCGTTTTTATGTTTTTACAGTGGTTGCAGTGCCGCCTGCTGTCTTTTAGAGTTTTGTTTTCCTTTTGTTCTGATTGTTTGTCTTTAGTAGCAGCTGTGAGGGCGGGGCCAACAACTTTTCATTGTTGGTTGGTTTTTGTTTGAGGCACTTAATGTTTGCTGTGATCCCCTCTGTGGGACACAACCACAAGATAAAGCTAGCAGAGAATCAATAAATATGATTATTATCATCATCCTGGTGAATATTTGCTGCCTTTCGGCCAAAGAGGAACTTGGAACCAGAAACTTTCACCCTTTTTTGGGAATTTTCGAAAAACGTTTTTCTGTGTCTTCAATATTGTCTTTAGTTGGAAATGTAATATATTTATTCCTTTGACTGTTCAACATGTTTGCTTTGGTATTTCCAATAATAATCTGGTTGGAAAGAAAATATTGTAAACGTTGTGATCCTGTTGGCAAGTTTCTCTACATGCTGTAAATGAGCTGAAAACAAACCAACTTCAGAGTTTTTACAGTTTCTCTAAGATGTTTTATGGACTCTTTAAAGATGTGCATCGACTCTAAAGCTATGAAACTTCTAACCTGAATTTGATTTGTAAACTGTGGATTTGTTCCTCAGCATCTCCAGCATATTACTGCTGCTGCTATTTTCTTTATTGGGAATAAAGTTTATTCAGAAACTGTTCCATGGTGTCTGCCATGAATATTAATGACTTCCTAAATGATTCACCTGATTTTCATTTCATGGAAACGTTGCTTCAGTCTGTGTTTGTTTTTCTTCACATCAGCAGAAAACGGACTGAGATCTGCTGACAGTTGTCATGGAAACACAGCTGGTGAAACCTCCCAGTGTGATGAAGACGCCTCCAGGCCTTCATCTCTGCAGCTTGTCCTGCCTGCTGCTGCAGCAGCCAGACTCCAGCGGCCCCTGGGGGCCCGGCGGTGGCAGCGTCATGCTGCGGGCTCTGTGTTTCCTGCAGGAGAAGGAAGGCGGCGTCCTGCAGCATCTGCTGTCCTCCACCAGGCAGAGGGACAGGAGGACGTCCAGTGAGTCTCCAGAGGACGGAGACGCCGACCGCCTCGCCGTCTCGGCTCAAAGAGGTCGAGGAGACGCTGAAGGTCACCATGGAGACGACCTCTGCCGGAGCGCTGGACCGACTCCTGCTCTAGAAGTAACGCTTTATTTCTCTTTCTACTTCATGGCTTTAAGACACTTTTCTCTTTTTATTGGCTTTTATTTCATAGAAAACGTTTTATTACAAATTCAGATTCTTTTTAGTCGTCATTATGAAAATATTAGTTTTAATTAGATTTTCATCCAAATAGTTTTCATTCTAATGAAACTAATTATCATTTTATTGCTTCTTTAAAATTCTTCAGAGTAAAAAGTCTTTTTTATTTTTGAGAAGGTTTTATTTTCTTAATAAAATAATGTTTTTACTTTCGCTATGACCTTGAAAAGCATCCACTGGGACCAGCTTCCCCTCAGCATGATGCTGCCTCCTCCATGTTTGGACCAAGGTGTCGTTTCCATGGCGACAGCGTTTCCGCTGGTTTCATGTGCAGGTGCAGCAACAGGCCGACGGACGAGGCGCTCACCGACCTCAGAACATTTTCTTTTTCAAATATTTTCCAGACGTCGATTGTTGAAGATTTTCAGTTTTATTTTTTCATCTGATCTGTTGATGATCTGCAGGAACAAAAGAGAGAAAAATACTCTGAGTTTGTTAGAAAAGTTGAATTGAGCAAAACATGAAGCATAAATTTCATTAAAAAGCTTTAAAGAGTTTGTTAATGGGACAAAATGTCATTTTATTCTGTTGAGGTGAAAAAGTTGATCTAAAATCAGACATGATAGCAGC